CCCCCACACACACACACATATATACAGCAAACATGTATATGCACATGAAGTCACATAAACCCCCTACCCCGAATCCTCACCTCTCTTTTTCTCTCTCTTACTCCTGCTAGGTCCATAATAATGAAAGAGGCTGTAGACTTACAAGCAAATCTCCAAGAAGAACTTTTTATGAACATGAAAATTGTTTTGGTGAAGCTTGTGGTGAAGATTTGTTGTCTTTTCAAATATACAGCAAAGTGGTCAAATCATTTTTTTTTTTTAAAGGAGTACATAGATACCAGATAACTTTCACGACCTGTCCCCATCACCGAAAAATTATTATCTTCAGACTAACAGCACAACATACTAGACTCTAGCATCACATGCACAGATGTTTCAAACTTGCTTTACTTTACTGTTATCCGCCGCTTATACCCTTTTGGGTGTCGCGGGAAGAAAGAGACGTCTCTCTGCCACCAGCCGGAGAGCTTGGGTCAGGGGAATGCCGTGAGTTGTTAGTGTTTCCCTGACTCAATCTATCCAGGTCTTTCTCGGTCGCCCTCTAGCCTTGTTGCTATTGAATTTTTTTATGTAAGCATGTTGTGCTGGATGGTGTGTTGGTAATCACATAAGATGTCCAAACCATTTGATTCTTTGATGTTGGATGTGAGGCACGACATGATCTGTGCCCACCATTTCTCCGACTGCTGAGTTTCAAACTTGCACAGTCACCAAAACGTTCGTGTAGAGAAGCAGACCAAACTGTGGAATACATCTTCCAGCAGAGCAGGACACACAGAGCCCAAGACAGAAAACATGGCCAACCCCATGAACCAGTTTAGTTTTGTTTTTTAGTAAGTTTTTTACGGCGCTCGAAACTGCATACGGTCAAATGAGCGCCAAGGGGTGGATGTCAACAGAGAAGTCCAAACAGGGAATCAGGCTTACTCTGCTCACCTCTCTAGCCTCAACAACACAATGTCTGCTTCAACTATCAAGGCACCCTGGGAGTAGCAGTTCACAAGAGTGACAAATATTTAAAAAAAGTAGAGGAAAAATGACGATAGGATGAGAAAGAAAAAGTAGCAATTCCCCCTATGTTGTTCTAACACAGTACGAGCAAGACATTGATATATCAGCCCATTTACAATTCTACTGGGCATAAGAAGTGCATAAGAACATGTTAATATCCCCCCTTCGGGAATAAGAGTTTTATGACACTCGCAGCTGCATAATGTCATATGAGCGCACAATCTCATTAACACTGCAGGAGAAACTGTACGGGTCAACAGAAGAGACAGACAGCCCAGTACATAACAGACGTAGGTCTTCAAGTGTGATGCGACTGAGAAGAAGAAAGATATTTTTTTAAACGAACATTTTTTAGAATCCAATCCTCGAGTAAAATAAACCTCACCGTAGCCAGAGTAGTCTTGTTCCGGTGGAGGGGAAGGCTTCTGCGTGGTGGGGACAAAAACACAGTGTCTCTCGTCCGAGTTATCACCGCAGTCATCCACGTTGTTGCAGATCCAGTCCGCGTGAAGGCATACTCCGTTGTCACAAGTGGCGTTGCATTCTGGGGGGGGGGGGGGGGGGGGAATCAGTGGAAAAGGTTTAATAGGCTGTAAAGTGCTTAAAGCAAAATGATAGTAATAAATAGTATTTGTGAAGCAAATTCCTGCTCAAAGGCAAGCTCTTAGCACTTTCAAATCTCTATTATTCTCTCCGCAGATTTGATAGCCTTCTGAAATATAAAACAATCTCAAAATCCTGGGAACCATTCCAAGCATGCTGTAAAGCAAGCACGGGGTGCATCTTTGGGTGTCGGTGGCCTAGTGGTTAGGTTCTCACTCATAACTGAAGGGTTGTTTGTTCAAATCCTGTCAGGGGCCCGACGTTGTATCCTTGGGAAAGACATTTTGAAGTAATATTCCTCACTTCACCCCGGTAGAAATGGGTACCCAGCTGTAGGCAGTGAAAAATCTTGTCTGTTAGTGTTTGAGCGCTTAATCAGCTGCTTGCACTGTATACTTCCTGGGAAGCTGAGAATGTTTCTGAGTGTTCTATGGTCTGCTGGTGTAATAATATAGGGTAAAGTGCATAGAGCTTGCTGTCAGGTGGGGAATTGCGCCATACAAAGGTTTATTGTTATTGTTATTATTATTATTAGATAACTTTAGCTCTAAAACAAAACAAAATGGTTGACAAGCAATGGCACATCCGTCTAAGTGTTTGTATTGATGTTATATAAAAAGCACATTACGTGACTTCGATATAACTTCTGAAATCTTTATATATGAGGCATTGTGGTGAAATCAGGAGCTCGTCAAAGTAATCAAATTGAAGTAACAGGCATTTTCCATCCAGTTTGGACATTTTTATCAAATTTTTGTTTTTTGGCTCAACACCTTTTACGTCTATTAAAAAACAAATTGCTATTAGGCTTTATTGAAAAACGATGATCAAAGGCACAAAATAAGTATGTTTAATGTAAGTTACCAAAGTTTGGTGACCATTTTCTCGCTTATTTCACCACTGAAACCAAGCAACACCACCTCCTTTAATCGCAAGTATCTCGACTTCTATTCAAGATAGATGGGCATTTTTTTCATTGAAAGCAAGACAAATGACTAAGCTTTCACTTTCAGATGACACCAATAACTCCGCATACCCAAAAATAGAACAGTGCCTAATTCCACAGGTTGAACTTGCCATTCTAACCCAAATTTCTCAACTCCGATTCTTTAAAAAGTTTTAAAACACAACACCAAACCACTATAACATAGAAGCAAGCAAAGGGGAAACAGCCTAAGTCTTTATTTCAGTTGGAGTAAAAGTAGAAGCACATCGACACATCATTAAAAACGTTTTTAGAAAGAATGCAGTTACTGAAGTATTTTCACGTCCCCATCCACACACTTTAGATCATTTACGAGGCAGGCTTTCACCATATCTGTCAGAGCCAGTCTGAGTTTAGAGGGATGCAACATCCAAGCAGAAAAACCGAGATACTTGATTAAAATTCTCCCTATTTCGAAACTGAACTCAGGTGTTCTGTATGCGACAGCAAAGCTCCTAATCACCACATACATCGCAGACACTAGTATCGAACAATAAGAGCAGGGGAAAAATGAGACAGACAGACAGAAACAATTGAAGGAAAGTTGAGCCATAGATAGGGCCAAACGGCAGCAAGACCAATAACAACGACAAGCACAGAAGAGAGGCCTCAAACAGCTTGCCCATGGTGCACAGCTTTCCCTCCCCCCCC